GAGCTGCGAGCAGCTTGTCGGGGTGTGTGGCTCCTGCTGCTACATGCACCCTGGCAGCAACAGGGGGCATGTGCAGACACCCCAAAATTTACCACAGCCTCTCCAAACCCCACTCCCAGTGCTGCCGCTGCCCACCCCAAGTGCAGCGTAGCCCAACTCCCCCGCCAGGAAGAGCCCAGCCCTAGCCTGCAGCCCGCCCTCACCCCATGCGCAGATCCCAAGCACACGGCCCCCATGCACTTCTTGGGTAAGTGCAGCAGCGGGAGCCACCACTCCCTCCCTGCACCGGGCATTCCCCCAGATAAGCTGCTCGTGGCTGCATCCTGTGCACCGCCCCAGCTGTGCAGGGACTGCCCCAGCCCCACTCCCTCCCTCACTGCCATATGGGGGGAGGGCATAGATCGAGGCCCCAGTGATGAGGGAGGGATCAGGGCACAGGCAGGAGCTCGGGTGAGTGCCCTGCTACCTCCCCCTCATCTCTGGGGCCTCGATCTGCCACCCCCCCCACAGCCCTTCCCCTCCCCTTCCCCCACAGGCTTCCCTGCTGGGGGGTTGCATGTGCATGTACTCAGCCCCTCCAAATAATTTTTTCTCCCTTTGTCTATGGGTGGATAGACATTCCCTTTTCATTCCAGAAATGCAGGCACATGCCTGCCATGGCTCAGGCTAGGAGCTGGGGGACACTAGAGCCGCCCTCCCTTCCCTTTCACAGAGCTGAGCTGAGAAGGGGTGTGGCCTGGCCCCAGCAGAACGCTCTGATTAGGGAGGGATTTAAACTCCCACGCTGCCTGCACTGTCCCAGGCTTTCTGTGCCCTCACCCCCCACACCCCCACTGCTCAAGGGGTGGGAGTATTGCCAGACCCCAGCCCTGGGCTAGCACTCTGAGGAAAAAGAGGAGTTTGCAGTGCATGTATCTGTTGATGATACTGAACTTTTCCATCTCCCTCCTGCTGTCTGCAAACCTGACAGGGCTACAAACCAGCAAGCAGTGCTGATAAAACCACAGTGTTTATCAGCCCATCAGCAAAACAAAAGCCTCTCTCATTAGTTCAAGCTCTTCTTAAACAACTTTTTCCAAGAAGGGATATTATCAGCTGACCTGCTGATGAGCGCCAAAAAGTCCTAAGCAAACATTGTTCTGTTTGCCTTCATCAGGTCCCAGTGAAATTGGAGACACAGACACCTCTCAGCATAAGCTAGCATACCACATGCCTAGGATCTGTGGGGCTGGGGTCTGTGCTGTGAGAGATGGGAAGGAGGGAAGAATCCCTGCTTGACCAGCAAACAGCGAGGGAAGCCAGGCAAACCCTGTTGTGCATTCAGTCTCTCCCACAGTTCTGGCTAGGGAGGAGACGAGCAGGGTTGGCCTGTTCTCTGGAGCAGAGAGCACAGCCCAGCCCAGGGCTGCAAAGCATCTGGGATGCTGGGGGACTAGTTTAACTTAAACCAGGAAGGCGTCTGGGACAGACACTGAAGGAACTGGTTTGACCGCACTCAGTTAAGTCTGATACTACTTTCAACCAAGTTTATTTTTAACCAGTTTCAGCCATTTTGAAACTGGTTTATGTGCACTGAACTTATGTTCTGTTACAGGTTTAAACAAGTTTCTGATCACTTATACCAGTTTATGTGTAATGTCTGTTCCTAGCCCAGGCATTTCCAGAGATGAGCCCTCTTGCTTATCCTATAACCCCTGACCGCTGGGAACCTGGGCTCCCCCAAAGCTCCTCTAAAGACCAGACCACCTCACAGATAGCCCCTAAAATACGTCCATGTCAGCCTCTACAACAGTATTGTCCTAATTGCTCATGAGTCTCAGAAATTTCTATAAATTTCTTTCCTTCCTGGGTTATCTGGTATTCCTCTAGTTAATGGCCCATTACTCTGAGATGCCTTCTTTACTGAGGGGTTGCATTTCCCATTTCAGGCAGACAAAACCTTGGGTGCCCGCCCATCCCAACACTAGTCCCTTCTGCCTGTGTTTGGGAGTGGCAACTGTTCTTGCCCTAGTAGCAGTTTTGCCTATTCCCTCTTCTTTAGTTCCCTTTAGTTCCCTGCATCCCTCAGTTCCTTTCACTAAACCATGTCCAAAAACATAAAGATACATATAGACAGAATAATGTAATCTGCAATGAGATAAAAGCAACATAACAACATCAGCTTTTCAATGAGATTACACACACCATATCAGTAAAACAAAAATAACACTCCATGAACACCCCAACACTGTAAGATTCATGATAGGGGACACTAGAGCTTTTCAGTGAAACATTCATAAAAAGATTTTTTTTTTAAACAAACATGGATAAAACAACTCCCTCCCCCACCTGAAATCTTATTCTGGAAACAGCTGAACCAGTTTAGCTAACTATTTTTTTTTTTAATTCAGCCCAAGGCAGACATCCAGCAAGGGGGAAGCTCAGTTCTGCTTCATACATTGGTGAATATATAATGCAACTGAAAACAGGATTTTCCAAGAGAGGTGACCTTAAATTATAACAGCACCTACTTGCAATTAAACTTCATATCATCATATTAATCTTTTTTAATCAATCATCATAAGCACTCACTTAACTAGAACAAGTGGAGTTTGTACATGCTCACATTTTTAATTTTTTCCCATTTATCAGTTCATTCTGTATGTCCTGATCTTTTGTTTCACAGATGTACAGAGCATTAGAATTACTTTCACTGAGCAGGGGAATGAAGCTGGCCCCAGATCTGGAGCTGGCCCTAGATCTAAAAGCGATAGTAACCTAGGGAAGCTTTGCTCTATTTTTTAAGCTTTCCAGAACTCCATATGCTCCAAGTTAATGGAAATCATTTTGTATCCAAACAGGTTTTATTTATAAACCAACTCTTCTGCCCTAGCTACCAAGACCAACACATAATTTATCATCATAGATACAAGTACTGGTTTCTTTCCACTGATGAAGTTAAAAACTTCCTTCTCTACCACACATCTCAGCTGACCAAGTTGAACGCCTCAAAATTTGCCAAGTTAGGAAAAGAACTTTAACATGCGTTCACCCCCTTAGGCTCAACTATGTACTGCTCAAATTCTCCACTACAGGAGCTGTACATACTCTGCTGTGTCTATGGAGATCATAAAAATACGTGCAAATGCTAGTATTTTATGTAACTTTCAACAGTGATTTTTGTCAAACACATAACTAGCTGTCAGTAAGTGCCTATTAAGCAATTAATGCTCCACTATTTAGTCAAAGAGCAAAGAGTTCATTTTTTCCTGTACATTAAGTAAAATGGGGGCTATTTTACTAAGCATATAGCAAAGCACTTATTAAGCATGCCACTGATGATCATTAACTATATATGAAACCTGAAATTTAAGATAGAAACTTCAGTTTCAGGAGGTAAACTGCACACTCATGTTACCGGAAGTAATTTAAAGTGCAAGTAAACTTACACTAAAGTATTTTGTTAGTCACAGTAATTAATCAAAATAAGAGTTGTTTTGGAATTGCTCAAATCATTTGCCCCTCACCCTACAAGCCTCCACCCCACCCTTCTCCTTTCTAAGCGAGACCACTAAGTACTACTGACAAGTGCATGGAATGAACCTTGGTGAGATAAAACAACATTCAGTACGTCAATTAAACTAAAAAGCCCCATTTAGGGCTTTTAAATCTACAGTACATATCTAAAGGGTACGGTCTGCTGATCTGTCTAAGCACCATCTATTTTAAATCAAAGAATGCTGACAACTTCAGAAAGTGAGACGATAAAGCTCCCTGTCACCATCTCATTTTTCACTCATTAACCCCTACATGAGGAGAGAGTACAGTTTTCAGAAGATTAACAGAATACCCTTATAGAAAAAATTTAGTGACTGATTACCTGGCTGTGCATTTTCCTAAAGGCTAAAATGGATATTAAACACATTTTTAAAGTGTCAAAAACCAATACAAGTTCAAGCACACTGTCAACTTTCAAATGCTTCAGTTAACAAAGATGCAAAAGACTGAACAGCTAGGCATTTACTCCTAATGTTTTTTCCTCACAAAACACTAAAGTCACTGCCAAAAATATTTATCAACATTAAAAGAAGTCATACAGCACGTATTCTTTTCTTTTTTAAATGTTTGTAAATACTGTCAGAAAATAGAAAACATCACCTACAAAGAACCTCGATTCTTAAAAAGTTCATGAGCATACAACATTTACAAAATGATGTTTAGCCCTAGGTATTAGTGACCGTTGTATTAAGAAAACGATAGGATCATTCATTAGACAACTGAACACTTCTGAGGAAACAGAAAAAACTGGTACCTAGTGCATGAAAAGCCATCACCCATGAATATAGATAAATGAAAAAAAAAAAACCTTCATTTTTTTTGTATGCGCATTCCAAGCCCAGCACAGCTCCCCACCGGCTGGAAGCTGCATCTGGCAGCACAGGCACAGTTTCGAGCCGCCTAGTCCCAGTATAATTTCTTGCTGGCTGGGAGTATACACAGGCAAAGCCCTCCAACTCAGCTGGATCCAGTAGCAATGTGAGCCATATCCAGTCTGTGGGCTGTATGCTGATGAACCCCAATCTAGATACTTGTGACTTAGCTCACTGTAGCATTCAAGTAGCCCCATGCAATCCCTGACAAAAAAACCCCACATCCACACCTATTCTCTCCATCACCTCTCTTCATTGTACCCAGAATGAGAAACAGGTGTGCACCTGGTCACCCACATATATTTATGCATACTCCACAAGAAACACATCCCATAGCTAGTACATAATGTTTCTAGATGTTGAGTGACACAGAAGGAAAGCTTACAAACATACTTGTCAAACTATATTTTAAAACAGACTAAAAGGTTCACAAACAACAGATTTAAAAAAAGAAGTCCCACATAGTTTTGTGGAACATGACTGATGTAGATGTAGATTGCTATTTCATATGCAAATACAAAGCATAGTTTTACTGTCTGTAGGAAGGTGGGGTTTGTTTGTTTGTTTGTTTTGGGGGGAGGGGGGGGTTACCTTTATCTGTTGCCTTCTGAGCATTGCAAGTTCCCTCATGTCTCGAAATGGCTGTAGCAAGTACTGGTACAGTTCTGTGGTAGCTTCAGCAAGACTACTATAGGCTTCATCTTCCATTTGATACAGTTCCAGGAGCTCTACCATGCTTTCTGTATTCTTGTGTTTTTCCAGCAGCTGTGTGAAGAAAAAAAAATGTGGATTTTAAAGTGTGTTCTAACTCTCCTGCCAACAAGAATGACTGTCACTTCAAGATAGTGGCTGTGTTTGTGCTCCTCCCTCAAAAAATCCAGAATAAGACCCACATCTTTTAGGAACTGAGCCAGCTATTTCTATGCAGCCCTCTGATAAACTCAACACAGTGTTCAAGGAACTCCCCATTGCTCACAGCTCTGCAGGCACTTCCTGCAACTCAGTGGCAGCAGAGACAAATATAAATAGGAAGAGGTTGTTTCTGTGCAGAAATCCGATTTAGTTTCCACCTATTACGTCATTTACATTTTTACATATTACCATTTTTTAAGGAACAAAAGTCAACCTTAAGTCAAGATTTTATTTTCTGGTTCTTTTATATAAATATCCACAAATACAAAAAAGTGCCACTGAAAACTCAAGAAAACTGATTTCTTGTAAAGGGTTTACAACCTAAGTCTCTGACTTTTAAAGCTGCTACACAGGCAGATTTCCCTGGGCTCAGAAAGCCCTGATGAAATCAGTTAGGCTCCACAGATTCAGACATCTGCCTGTGTAAAGAAACCTGCAGAATAATTTCTGTTCAGTCTTCCTTCCTATTCATACGCTTCAGCAAAATGGTTTTTCCTCTTTAACTGAGATACCAATGAAGCATGCAGAATCTACATATGTTTTTCATTAGAATATAAGGAAAAAAAACAGTGGAAGTTCTGAAAGCTTTGTACAAATACTAAATGTAGGGCCTAAGTCAAGCTTAAAAGAGCACAAAACCTCTTCTGGAGACTAAACAGACAATCCTTTTGCACAAATCTGTTAAATCTTTTTAAAGTGGATGTCTGCTTCAAGTCCATTTTACACCTCTTCCTTGGCAAATCTGACCATGCAACTGTAACTACCCTGTGTATAAAGCAACTCAGTCATTAAGGCTAAATGTTTAAAAAACAAACAAACAAACAAACAAACAAACAAACAAACAACTTACTTGAAATATTTCCACATATCAACAAAAAAGGATTATTCCGAATTAATAAACCTTTTCAGACCATTTTTAGCCACAAAAAAAACCCCAAATACTTGTTGTTTATGTTACTGCCGCAAAAACGTATGTACAGTTGTACTACCAATTTTCTCCAAATCATGCATATTAAATTATTTCAGATCTCAAGCCACATTATCCTATTAGCTGAATGTTTAAATGAAGCTCCCAGGCTCCGTAAGTATACTAAGCATAACAGTATTCAGGTTCACATGCTGGGCGTCATTTCAGTACCTAAGCAGTATCCTAATCTAACTGCATAGATACTTCAGACAGCTCAGTCCATAAAGATGAATTACCTTCTCTGGACTCTTTTTTTTCTTATTCTTTGCTCATCTCCTTGTATTGACTGACAATAGTAACAACACTCTTTTACCTCTAACATTCTTAACTAAAGCTTGATGTTTCCTAACCTCTTAAAAAGCAGAGGTATCAAATCATCTAGCCTGCACTGCTGCCTGTGGGCCTTGAGCCAGGCCCATGCACACCATTAGCCCCGTGTGTGCTGAATGTAGTGCATGGAATCAGTATGACCCTGCATACTAGATCCCACACTGGTCTGGATTGGGCCATAAATCAGCCAGACTATGCTCGCCACAGTGCTCCAGGCACGTGGCCATAATTATCAGCTACAACAACCAAAAGAAGCCAATAGCCGATAACGTCATTTCTCCTTTTATCGGTGCCAATCTGATAATCAACTGATATATTGGTGCACCCCTAATAAAGCACTACAGTAAAAAAAAAAGTCTTGCTACTGTTCTTGCAAGGGTCAGGGCCTTATCTTGTGTGACAGAGTAAGTCCTCCTGAAAACAGTGTCCAGGAACTATGACAACCCAGGAGACTGTGTCACATCAGAAGATGCATGTTTTATTTGGGAAAGGTTTTGTGTATGAGAAAATATGGTACTATGAGTCATTTTTAAAGCATATTTAAGGACTATATCTTAAGGAAGTTTTGGTGGACAAGTAGTACGAGAAGGACAGACTTACTGTAATCTAACATCCTTTAAATAGGCGGTAGGCAACCCCCAGCACCAGGTGCCAGAGCATGGCATGTGAAGGCATTTTGCTTGGCATGAGCACCTTGGGACAGAAGGCAGGGAAGGGGTCTTGGCCGCACTGCCACAACAAGGACTGGGCCCCTCACAGCTCCCCCACCATCTGCTCTGGCATACCAACATCTTATATAAGTTGAGGCTGCAGGTATTTTTGGCACTCTGCCCAAAAAAACTGCTTGTTTTAAATGGTCACCTGTTTGGATGTTGAAAGAGTAGGCACATTTATAAATACAGTAACTCCAGAAATGGGGGCAGAAAAAAAATCAAGTGAAACACAGATAAAATAATACATTATCTTACATGAAATATTGTTGTTTTGTTTGTTGGGGGAGGGGTTTGAGAGAGAGAGATGTGTTGTCCACACCTAGTTCTTTTTGGCCTACAACATCCAATGAGGCTGTACTGATGCTCTGTATTCTGCTATCAAAATCAAGGGCAGAGGTCGGCAACATTTTTGGCTGGAGCACCAAAAACACCCCAACCTTGACCCACGCCTTGACTTGGCATACCAGAGGCAGACAGCAGAGGAGTCACAAGGGGCCTGATCCTCGCTGCAGGTGGTAGGTACATGTGTGACTCTGAACAGACAGCGGTGGAGGGGCCGGGGTTATGCTGCCCTGGCCCCTTCCCAACCAGTCACCTGGAGGACCGTGCGCACTCGCCACAATCATAGAGCCAATACCAAGGCTCCAGATCCTGGTCCTGCTGTTTGCAGCTTCCTGGTTGCCTACCACAGCTGGTCTGGGCTCTGGGCAGCTGCAGCCCTGGCACCAGCTCCACGGGAGCAGCAGCTGTACATGCACCTCCAGGTAGACAGCAGGAGAGGGGTCAGGGTTGCACTGCCCTGGCCCATTCCCAACCGTTTGCCCCAAGATCTGCATACAGCCACCACCACAAAACCAGTGCTGGAGCTCTGGACCCCAGTGCAGCTGTCTGCAGCCTGCCTGCCACAGAGCCTGGGCTGCTTGCAGTCTCCTGGCTGCTTGCTGCAAGCAACTCAGGCTCTGTGGCTGGTGACAGCTGCTCAGAGCCTGGGTCAGCACAGGAATCACTTAGGCCGCAATATGCTGAACTGCCTTTTTTTTCCCCCCAGTGGATGCTGTCCAGTCAGCACTCAGGCTGTCAAGTATGATGATGCTAGGTCTGGGTGCAGTAACACTGTGTCAGGTAGATCAAGTAAAGTGATTTGTGGGTGCGTTGTAAGGGTCACCAAATCCAGAGAGCAGACCGGCTTGACTCAATCCAGAACTACTGTAATTATCATACTGCATCTTTGCAGAGCCCTCAGTAGTGAGCTTACATGCCAGACAATATGTCAGTGAGCTCAGAACTCACTGCACATGCAGAGCTCCAGCAGAAGCCACCCTGGCCTGCTGACAGGGACATGGTATCCCAGTGACAAACTTTTCACATAGGTTTTGCATGCCATGTCCAAACCATGGGCCATAGTTTGAATATCACTGCCATAGTAAAATTGTTTTGTCTGTCCAGAACCCCTGACAAACTATTTGATTGAAATTGCCTGCTGCATTTATCTGTCAGTGTATTCTAAAGGCTAAGAAGCTGTGGCACAACTTTTAGCAATCTGATTATCTACCTGTAGACTTTTAGGTCTTGATTAAGCCAAGGAGGATGATCTCGGTGCCCATTTTGCCAATATACTGTCCAGGTGTGGTGCTGTCTGTCAACCCTTCCATTGTTGATCCCTGCAACAGTAGTAACATGACTCAGAACTAAAGAACATTTTATTTGCAGAAAAGCACCTTGAAAGGACTGCAGACTGACTGAAAGCAATCCAGATGAGCCCCATATCCGTAAGGAGAAGCATTTGTCAGTCCTGGAGAATGTTTACATCGGTTTAAGGGTAGAGGTCTTGTGGGGCTGTATCATGTGGTGTCACCTAGATAGGTAACACTGATTCCAACCACCCTTATAGAGCTGAAGTCTGGCAGGCTATGTTCTAAGGCAGTGGTTGTTAACCAGGGGTATGCATACCCCTCTGGGTACTTAAAAGAGTCGTAGGGGGTATGCGGAACTCCGTATGCATGTGCATAGCCACAGCAGAGCATGTGGGCAGCCAGGACGCAGGCCGGCCACATGGAGAGCAGTCAGGTCCAGTGGGTAAGTTTGTTGTGGGGGGAGGGAGTGGGGCAGGGGAGGAGCCAAATCTTGAGCGTCCATTGATGGAATTATGGAGACTTGTGTTACTACCCCAATCTTAAAAAAAATGGATAAGCTTTTAAAATGTCAAATTGATTATCAAAGAGGCCATTCTTAACGGACTGGCCGATGGCAACATCTTGAGGGATAGCCAGAATGGGTTTGTGGCGGGTAGGTCTTGCTCGACCAATCTTATTTCCTACTACTAGCAGGTGACCCAGCATCTGGACAAGGGAAAGGAGATTGATGTCATATATCTTGACTTCAAAAAAAGCCTTCAATCTGGTATCCCATGATCACCTCTTGGCAAAACTGGCCAACTGCAGCCTTGGGTTCACCATGATCCACTGGCTGGGGAATTGGCTCCATGTTCGGACCCAGAGGGTGGTGGCTGACGGAAGTCAATCATCGTGGTGCCCTGTGACCACTGGGGTCCCTCAAGGCTCTGTCCTTGGACCTATATTGTTCAACATCTTCATTAATGATGTGGACACTGGAGTCAGAAGCGGACTGGCCAAGTTTGCTGATGACACCAAACTCTGGGATAAAGCATCCACACCTGAGGACGGAAGGGTGATCCAGGCTGACCATGACAGGCTCAGGAAATGGGCTGACGAGAACCTGATGGTGTTTAACACTGAAAAATGCAAGGTTCTCCACCTTGGGAAGAAAAACCTGCAGCATCCTTATAGGCTCGGTAGTGCTACGTTGGCTAGCACTATGGATGA